ATGGATGGCGTTAGGACCCTAAATGACATGCAAAAGCTATTGGGAGACATTAATTGGATTAGGCCATATTTACATATACCAAATTCAGATCTCAAACCCCTGTTCGACCTTCTGAAGGGAGACCCAGATATAGCCTCCCACAGGAGGCTCACTCCTGAGGCAAGAGCTGCCTTACAGAGAGTGGAGGAAGCCTTAGGTGGGGCTACCTTACACAGAATTGAACCGGGGCGATCCTTTGATGTCTGTTTGCTACAGACTAGTCTACAGCCTACAGCGGTGATTTGGCAGAAAGGACCACTACTGTGGATACACCCTAAGGTCTCACCTGCAAAAGTCATAGAGCATTACCCGGAGGCAGTCGCTTCATTGGCCCTTGAAGCGCATGATAGAGCTGTCCAACATTTTGGCTCAGGACCACAAGCCATCCGAGTACCCTATACCGCCAGCCAGATCAAGACCCTGGCTGCCTGCATAGATACTTGGGCCATTCTGAGATGTGTTTTCCATGGGGATATAAACAATCAATACCCTAAAGACCCTATCTTGTCATTTGTCACTCAGCACCCTATAATTTTTCCAAAGGTTACTGCCTCTGAGCCATTAGTCCCAGCAACTACAATATACACAGATGGCTCCAAGACGGGGATAGGCGCCTATGTGATCCTAGGCAAGCCCCCGGTTACCATACAATTTGAACCTGATCAGCCTCAGGTGGTGAAACTGCAGATCGTTAAAATGATTCTTGAACGGTTCTCAGAAGCCATTAACATTGTCTCCGATTCTAGGTATGTGGTCAATGCTATGCAAGTGCTTGAGACTGCCAGTTTAATTAGATCCACTTCCACAGTGGCTGGACTGTTCCTGTCTATCCAGACATTGCTTCAAAACAGACACCATAAGGTCTTCACCACCCACATAAGAGCACATACATCCCTGCCAGGGCCTATGGCACAGGGGAATGCGGCTGCTGACACTGCCACTCGCCCGTTATGGATTTTTACCTTACTAACACCAATCGAGCGAGCCCGTGCCTTCCATGATAAATTTCATGTTAATGCCAGGAAACTAGCAAACCATTTCCATGTTTCTAGAGCAGATGCACGAAATATCGTGCGACTATGTGACTCCTGTGCCACATACAAACCTGCCATACCGATGGGAGTAAACCCTCGAGGTTTGATCCCTGGTGATGTTTGGCAGATGGACATCACACATATACAGGAGTTTGGGACTCTTAAATATGTTCATGTTTCCACAGACACCTGTTCTCGCGTCATATTTGCAACAGCAGAAACAGGTGAAAAAGTGTCTAATGTGATCAATCATTGCCTGGCAGCTTGGGCCGCATGGGGCAAACCAAAAATATTAAAAACTGATAATGGACCAGCCTATATAGGCAAAGCTTTCAATGAGTTCTGCAAAATGATGGAGGTTCAATTAAAACATGGTATCCCATACAATCCCCAAGGTCAAGGAATCATTGAGAGGGCTCATAGAAGCCTCAAAAAAAATTTTACAAAAACAAAAAGGGGGAGTAGGCCAAGGCCTGGCCCCAAAGGCACGATTATCCATGGCACTATTCACACACAATTTTTTAAATTTAAATAATGATAATCGCTCCCCAGCTGTGGAGCACTGCAACCCTTCCCCCAACCATAAAGGGTGGGTGAAGTGGAAAGATGTCCTGACAGGACAATGGATGGGCCCGGATCCGGTAATCAGCTGGAACCGAGGCGCGGTTTGTGTTTTCCCACAGGAACCGGGACGAGAACCACTGTGGATACCGGAGAGACTGACACGGGCAACAAAGCCCTCGACTGAAGATCAGACCTGCCCTACTGGAGATCCATCACAGACCAACCAACAAGATGAATAGAAATAGCGGTAGCCCGAAATGGACAAGAAGATCCTCAGGCATATGCATGGCTCGCTCGCCTAGCCTACGACCGAGTCTAGGGACGGTGAGCTTCCCACACTCCTCCTCTAAAAAATTATGATATAGCAGGGTAGATGAGTCAATGACGGGTAAGAGCGTGCCTCCCCAGCATGACTCGACCTAAGCCAGGCCCTACCCCATCCTGCACGTAAGCCGCTGGACTGTTAGATGCTGCCCAGGTCTAAATTTCTCTCCGAGGGGATTTCTTTACGGAGAGGAAATGAGTGCAAGCTTGTGTGCATCCAGGTTCCGTCCAGTTTGTGCCTGGCCCTAGAAAAAGGACGAGGGCCTCAGGGCCTTGGCAGACCATGGGACGGCCGACCAGGGTCTAAGCCAAGGACCTACGGTGGGCCTACGCATAGGGCATAAGCCTCTGCACCCAGTCCAGGAAGGGCTACGATGCGCACATTCATAAAAAATAAAAAAGGGGGAGATGTTGGGAGCCGCAGCCCCGAGCCCGGTCGCCTCACTTGGCGGACGTGAGGCCTGTAGTAAAGAGTGAGGCCTGAGGTAGATTACCCCTCCCATCGAATATGTTAGTTTCCTGCTTACCGCGTAAACAACCCGCTCAACAATATAGTCTGCCTGGCAACTGATGATGTTAGCCAATCAGCTTGCCTTGCTTACTTTAACATGATTGGACACTGTACCCATATATATACCGGTGCCACCCCTGGGCGGAAGAAGAAGCCAGATAGAAGCCCGGAAGTAGAAGCCCAAAAGGAGCCGCGGAGAGCGGACCGGTAGAGGCTTTGGGGCAGGCTGAAGCACAAAAGGAGCCGCGGGGAGCGGACCAAAGGAGGCTTCAGCTGGGAGAACCCAGGGCAGGCTGTACGGAGAAGAAAAATAAAAAGAAAAGGTTGTCCACTACCAGACTGTGTCGTGTGTCCTTCCTGCCGGCCGGGAGCGGACATCGACAGGAAGGGATTAATGAATTAAGTTTCATTGTAAAGGAAGTAACTGAGGAAGTGTCACAAATTACTATGGGACTTTTGTCATATCCCTTTAAAAATTCTGTATCTTATTTTATTATTTTTATTGTACTGGGGATCAAACTCATGACCTCACACTTGCCAGGCAGGTGCTGTGCCCCTGAGCTGTATCCCCAGCCCTACATTTTAACGTTTTATTCTTCTTGTAATTCTGTTCTTACTACCAAATCTAAAGTCTTGTTTTCAAGCCCCCCGTTCAGTTTTTGCAACCAAAAGATCTATCCTGTCCCAGATTCATTTACTTAGTTTTCAATGTATTATAAGCAATAAAGAACATTTTATTTTATTTTTATATATTTATTGTTTTCGTGCTGAGAATCAAACTCATGACCTTGTGCTTTCCAAGCAGGCACTGTGCTGCTGAGCTGTACCCCTGACCTCAAGAAAGACAACTTTAAAAAAAAAAAAACACTCGCCAATATTTTATTTCAATAGAAAACTCTATTTGATGAATTGGTTTGAGGATTCATCCAAAGCAGATCTTAGATGAGGATTTGGGAATAAGTAGTGAATGTGGGAGGCGATTTCAGAAAGTATACTGAGTTCGTGGGAATGACACACGAGGAAGGTAGAGAAATGAATCCAGAGAGCGTTCATGTGGACACTGCCGTGGGCATGCAGGTCCTTCAGAGAGCCAGCGGAAGGTTTCTCTTGTCCCTCCCTGGCAAGGTTTGCTCTCCACACTGCAGCCTCTCCTGAAGGATCTTTTGGCCACAGATGGTCCTCAGGCAAAGAGGTCCAGGGGGCTGAGGAGGCGCACTCTCCATGTGGAGCAGCCTGGCCTTGCACGCTACTGGCAGCTTTTTGGTGTCCAAGGAGAAGTGGGATTAATGTCAGTATTGGTCTCCACAAAAGAACATGTTTAAAAAGAGCTTTTTATAACAAGAAGGATATAGTCTACCCCAAATCCAGCAGTCTCTTGTGTCAAATAAATATTTCCTGATTCACTGGTACATTTAGAACCAAACACATTAACAGGTAGCTCACGTGGAAAAGGGCGAGAGAATGGCAAAATCAAATGTGAATAGTAACACGATTTGACATCAGATGGACCAAGCTCCTTTAAGGTGCTAGTACTCAGTGCTGTCAAGGGGACACTGATCCTGGCATTTTATACAGTGGGGGTGTGAGGTAAATTCAGTCATCCTCTTTGTTTTCTTAATACTGTATCTTCTTATCTTCTGGCCCAAAAAAATACTGCATCTAGGAACCTATCCAAAGGAAGTAATCAGAAATACAAACAAAACAGTCCTCAATGGCCTTTTTTTAAATGATTTTTTCCAAATCCATTATATTTCAGGGAGAAAAAGAAAAAAAAAAGAAAACCAAACAAAATTGCAAAATACATTAATCAGGGGGCAACAATGGTACCTACATTGCACATTGTCACCCCCAGATCATTCACCCAGAGCACAAGACATCTGCATTCAGCTGTCCTGATGGCTTTTAATCTGAGGCTGGTAGTTGGGGTGATGTTGGGGAGCTGTCCCCTTAGATGTCTAACGGTGGGAAAGGGGTAGTTATTATGCTGTACGCATAGGATCTACTATAACTGCCCCCTGGACTGAGGTTTGCAAATAATTTAATAGTATAGGAAGAACATTTGGTCACATTAATGAAAATGGAATGCAAACTTACGTATGTATACATTTTAAAAGTACAAAAAAGCAGTTGGTGGAGCAAAGTAAAACATAGATAATAAGAAGTAGGAAGATAGCTCTTTCTCAGATGGAGAAGGGATCAAGAGGTGAAGGGAGGCGGAGGGGACGGAAATGGGGTACAAAAAGGAATTAAAGTGTGTTGTGCCCATGTGCCTACTCCAGAGAGGACACAGGAACAGTATGTACTGCAAACGTGTGCTAATAAAAGACATCATGATATTATCATTGACCACTTAACAGAAGTTGACTTATCATGATTTTGAGTTTCTTCTTTATACTAACCCTTTCTGACTAGAATGTCTATTACTTTTACAATAAATGGTATGTAAAATAATTTTAGAGCACATTAATAGCTTCACTTAAAAGAATACTTTATCTCATTCCTGCTGCTAATATTTTGTATTTTGACAGCCACCTCAGTCATTTGACTCAGGAAAACCTCTCACCAGTAGAGAAAATATGCAGGTAGGTGTAACAGTATTTTATAAAAACTGGACGTTCATTGTGGATGACTTTCAAGTCATTTCAATCTATGTGGGAGGTATAATGGTTGGTTTTGAAGGCCTGCTGATAATATGTTTCTATTTCTGATAATAGGTTTTGTTTTAGTTCAAAATTTTGAGGCCAGAAGTAGCATTGGATCAAACTGATCCAGTTTTCAGGTTGGGCAAAAATAGCAGTTACTACTCCTGCATTTCAGCCACAGACATGTATCATCTAGCCGCATCCATGATAGCATCTTCAATATTTATCTTTATTACCTAGAAGGTAATGGCTGGCTCTTGGTTGTAAGAAAAGCATTTGGTAGACTTGGCCATAGCCCACGCGTTGGATGCTGCTTTTGTTCATTTCCCTGTGTCTCCTGGTTCCCACATTATCTACCAGTGGTGGGGAGGACTTCACTTGGCCTTTTCATAAACAGCTCCTCTGACTTCTCCAGTATTTTTCATAAAAAGAGTGTGTGACTGCCACGTAAATATGTTTAGGTCCTGACGGTAAATGAAAAGGTAAATACAAACCAAAATATACCATAGATACTTTGAAATATTTTGAAGCAATTGTTCAAAAGCAAAGAGGAGCTAGGGTTGGGGAAAGGGGAAAGGAAGGAAGGGAACAGGAAAAAACACTAGGTAGCTACACTACTAGTTTCTCTCCGTTTATTGGAAAGAAAGGTTTATGTTTAATATCATTTTTATGCCCATATCTTATACTCTGCATAACTGCTTTGAAGATAACAATAAGCAGTGTGCAAGTGTGTTTAGGTGTGTTAAGATAGAGAACCATATTACTAAGATTTTGTTGGATCATTGAACACAACTGTTTGCAGTCTCACTGTTTGAATGTCCACTTTGTATGCTTTAATCCTGTAACTTGAGCAGCTATTTCTAAGATGACAGTATGTAATCTATTAACTAGTGATTTGTTACTGTTTTTTTGAGGTTCTGTATTACTTGTACCCTTGTACTGTTTTGTTTCTTTTTCTTTAAATAAAAAAAAATAAGCAATGTGGTAGCTGTTGTTATTCTCCTATTATTTTGTTATGAAATTTTATTTCTCCCATAAAATAAAAAAATAGTTGAATAGTTGAGATATAAGCATTCGATGTCCTAGTACCATTTAAATATCTCAAAATAATTATGTAAACGGGGAAGGCGTTCACTAACTGTATTTGTTTTTTAAGTAATAGGAAACAGAATTTGGTTTTAAGCAAGCTATTTATTTTTATTGTGTAATTTGAGAGACATGTCATCAAAATTTCATTATTTTTGTTTTCCATAATTTTGATGACAAAATACCCACCTTTTATTACATGTAATCTTATTACTTTTCATTTACATTTCATTACTTGCTTTTCATTTCATAAAGTTCACTTCTAATTATGCTTCGTATCACTCAATGTTTTTGTCTAAAAATGTACTTTAATTTATAAGCAAGTTGTCTGAAATGAAAGAACTGATATTAGGAAGACTTAAATACATATTCATATTTTATTTTAATGTTCTAAGACCTCGGGGAGTTGAAGAATATTTCTGTCTTTCTAGTCATAAATGCCAGGCCGTCCTAAAAACACTTCTTTAAGGCACAGATTTTTGGTATAGAAAGAATGTCTGTCTGATCATGTCTCTTGAAACAAAAAGAGACTGACAGTATAATGGAAACCTGATTTCTATTAGCTAATTAATTAAAACAGTAATGTTGGCCCGCTTAAGACTCTTCAGATTACACTTCGCATTTTCTGCATAGAGAGAGAGAAAGGAGTGTTAAATGGCATTACTAATTAATCTCCCTTTGATCCTCAAGTGTTTGTGTGTAATTGTCAAGGCTCATTAAATCACTGTTTGCTGCAGAAGGGAGAGAAGTGTCCTCTCTCCTTCCCACCAACCCATCGGAGTTTCTTCCCTAGACAGGAGGTTTGACCGTCTTCCTGGGGCAGCACCTTGGTGGCAGGGCAGCCCCAGGCCACAGCATGCCTGGCTCTTCTGCGCATGCTGATTTCAACCTCTTAGAAGAGGTTTAAAAAAGAGAATAAATAATAGCAACAAATCTTACCACTGCCACCATTATTTTAAACTCTCCCAAGCAATGCATTTTTTTGGTTTATGTAAGACAAATAATTTCCCTCTTATCTAAAATAGGTAGCTCTGGCAACTGTTTTTAATATTAGTTAAAGTATTAGTTAGCAATATTAAAAGCTTGTTGTATACAAGGCACCATTTTGATGATGGCAACAGAGCTATCAGCACAGCACAGACAAAATTCAGGTCCTCATAGAGCTGGTAATTCAGTGGGCAGGACTAGTAAACTTGATATGTAAGGACTCATTTAAAGGAGTACTCTGTTAAGGTACTTACATTAGAATGTGTATGGGTGAAAATAATCCCAGCAGTGTTTGAAAGGGGATTTAGAGCATTTTAGGTGGGGTGATCAATCAAGTTAGTCTGTACCTGAAGTCCGATGCAAGTCACTGCAATCTGCAGAAAGAATCATCTAGAAAGAGTGAGTAGCAAGTGAAGGGGCCCTGAAGTAGAATTAGCTGGTTTGGTGAGGGACACATGGGCCAGTGTGCCTCGAACTGGGTGAATGATGGGGTAACAGTGGGGAATAAAGTCAGAGCAGTCAAACTGAGAAGGGCCTTGTCGCTCTGTTATAACTTAACCTTTTATTGGAGGAAAATGGGAAGCCACTGAAGAGCTCTGAGCAGAAGTGTGGCCTGATGTACTTATATTTTAAAGAGATTGCTTTAATCCATTGAGTCCACTGTGTGTCAGGCACTGTTACGGTGCTGTCAATCAATCAATCAAAATGGACAGATCTCCTGTCCTCAAGGAGTTTCTGTGTGTGGCATTGAGAGGGGATCCTAGGAGTGTGTTTTAGACATTGTAAATGGGTTTGAGCTGTGTGCTAGATGCCAAGGTGGAGGAATTGAGTCAGAGGTTGATTCTATGGGTCTTAGTTTAGAAAAGAGGTTGCAGCACAGGTGAATAACTTGTGATTTCATCACCCTTTAGAAGAAATGAAAACCTGTGTGAAAGCCTGCTTAAGCTCATCTAAGGTGAGGGGATGAGGAGGAAAGGACTGAGTTCTGGAACATTCTGGTGTTAAGAGGTACGGGAAGAGGAGGAACCAGCAAGTGGTAGCCAGTAGGGAAGATCAATTGTCTTAAATGTTGCTGATGAGTCAAGTATGATAATTTTAAGTATCACTGAATTTTAAACATGATTTTTTTCACATTTAACATCTCTGAAATCAGCATGTATTTTATCATTGATGATATGTGACAGTTTAATTTGCATATAAAACAGTGTCTTGATTAGAAGTAGCATGTTATATGAGGACTGAAAATTGAACATTGGATTTGGCCAAGTGGAGACCACTGGTGGCCTTGACCAAAGGGTTTGATATAAGTGAGTTTACTGGCAAGGAAGGGGCTGGGGGTGTAGTTCATGGGAAAGAGCTTGCCTAGCTTGTGCTTGGCGTCGGATTCCATCCCGAGCACTGAGGGGAAAAAATAAAAGAAAGGATATAAATTAGAATATTGACAGTTGTCTGGAGGGGAAACTGAGGTTTGGGTAACAACTGAAGAGGAAGTTGGTGTACAGGGAAGGTTTTTTTTAAAATAGAACTAACAACAGCATGGCTCTGTGTGAACAGAGGGTCTATGCAGGGTGGCCTGCTTGGCAGTACCAGCCTTAGGCAGCAGGAAGGAAGGGAGAAGGGTGAGGGTGGCTGCTGGGGTAGGTGAACTGGATGACACAGTGGGGTCTAGGGGACCCCACTTAAGTAGAGGAAACAGAGCCTTAGCTGGGAGGGAGGGAGGCAAGGAGGGAGAGGAAATGGTTAGAATTGATAGAGAGAGAGAGGAGAGAGAGGAGGCTTTGAAATCATTGTCTAGAAAAGGAAACCATCAGCCCCAGGGTCCTTCTCACTCAGGGGCAGGGCCGGCCACAGGCCAGGGATTGGTGGAAAGCTTTGCTGAACAGGTGGGTGGCTGAGCTGTTCAGTGTCTCTCTCCATAGTGCTGCCATTCATGGGACCTCATGTCTATCCCTGGGTCCCTGCATCCAGCATCAAATGGAGACTAAAGAGGGAATGAATTAATAATATCTGAAAAAAATTTTACTAATTTGCCCTTTCCACCCTTTTTTATTTTTAGGCACTTGAAGAAATAGCAACGAAAACCTTGCCTCAATTTCTGGTCACCGTTGGCCAACAGCATCTTTTAAATAAGTTTTGCTTCATGAAGGCCTATTTCCTCATCAGTGTGGCTGCGACAATAAACTGTGTGCCGGATAACTCATTGAAAACTCTCTACTCAGAGCTTGCTGAGAAGAGGAGCAAACTGAATGTTACAAACTTGATAGGTAAACATTTGTTCCATTGTTTGCTATTTCTGTTTCTCTGGCTTTTCCCCTCTCTACTCCCACTAATCCATGTGGTTGGTCTAGTTCTTAGATTCTCTCATATTTTCCTCTAAGCTCTTATAATGAAACACGTATATACTTACATCTTGGTGTATACGTCTCCATCTGTATATAACCATAATCATAAACACATACACATTTGTGTGCATGCACATAGCATAATTTTGCCACTTATTTACAGAATACTTTGCTCACATTTTTATGCATCTTGCATTTTTTGTGCAGAAAAATCTGATGGAAGCCACTTCAAAACAACTGCTTTGCTGTGGACCCTTCTACTGACTGTGTAAACGCTGTGGTATTCCGCAGTGTGACTGTCCTATGGTTGATTCAACTGTCTTCTGTTGATTCTCATGCACTTTGTTCCCAAAGAACAGAACTAAAACACTACCTAGCCAGATGACACACTTTCATGTGATAGGTGCCCTGGAGTGTTATTTATAGGGCACAGGGCATATGTATTTTTTTTTTCTTTTTCTTTTTTTTTTTTTCACCTTTTTTTTTTAAATTGTATTTTAGGAGAAAAGAAAAAAAAAGCAGGGAAAGGGTACAAGTTATACAGATTTACAGAAAAAAATGAACAGTAGGAAATCACTAGTTAATGGATTACATATTGTCATCTTAGAAATAATTGTTCAAGTCACAAAATTAAAGCTTGTAAAGTGGACATTCCATCAATGATACTGCAAACAGTTCTGTTCATTGATCCAATAAAACTCTGTGATATCATTTTCTATCTTATACACTTAAATATACATGCAGTTATATAGTTTGGAGCACTTTCTTTTCCTCTCTTTTGTACCATGACTATTACACATTTTGGGTTTCATTGCTCCCACGGTTCTTATTACTTTTTTGGAAGAGAGTAAAACCAAATGTGACATAACAGAACAGAATCGGTCAAGTCAAAAGGGTGGGCATAATAGATAATGTAAAAACATAATACAAGGTGATCCACAATGGTTACCATAATGCCTCCCGCTATCTCTAATGAATTGCCCATATCGTTAGTTATAATACAATTGAATAAAACAGTAAAGAATAAAACCGACAAAACCAAAACATTGGAGACATTGTAGGTCTTCAAAAGTAGATAAAAGTCAACGAGAATGGGCGTCATAATGAATCTCATTATCTTCACAGCTGATGCCTAAACTTTCGAACCTGATACTATCCAACAAAACAGAATAGGGGAACATCAGTTAAAAACCAGATGGTGAGAGTAATACAGGGCTTTAAATCAAGGTAATGAAAAGTCAAAGTGGGTTACTATAATATATCCTGCTATTTTTTTTCCTTTAATTAAAAGGATAAAGATAAAAAAGTAAATAATGGAGTGGAGAATGAGATAAAAGAGGGCATAACAACGAAACAGCGCAGATCAAAATATAACCATTTAAGCAGAATAGTGTTTCACCACCAGATAATCCTAACCTAAAAGTAGTTACCATATTGTCTCTTTCTTTGAAATCCTTGAGTACAACTTCGTATACTGTAGCATTAAGTATATCAAAACAATGTAAAACCATTCAAGAGAATGACAGCATTATAGAGTATTTAGAATTGACTAACAGAAAATGAACAATGGTTTCTGTATAATCTCCTTGTCTTTAAAAGGTTTTTGCTTATACTATCGTACATAATAAAATCCAATAAGATACAGCCTATTTAGACCATTGGAGACAGAAGGACAAAAGCTAGATGAGACTTCAAACCAAGATGATACTAAATCAGTATTACCTATTAAGATGTCATTTTCTCCAAAATAGCTGTTCCTATCATCCAATCTTCTCTGCCTCATTTCTGTTGAGCTCTTTTTCTGTCAGTAGCTGTCAGTTTGTCTTCTTCATTTTGTTCTCTGCTCCATTCGTTGTGGCCTCTCTGCCATTATTTCTGCATTCTTTGTATTTTTCTTTTTTTAGAATATCCTGCAATACTCTCTGTAGAGTTGAATTGGTGGTTGCAAATTCCCCCAGTTCCTCTTTATCCTGGAAGCACCTCGTTTTTCCATCAATTTCCAGGGACAGTTGTGCAGGATATCTCAATCTTGGCTGGAGATTATTATCTTTCAAAGCTTCAATTATTTCCCCCCACGCTCTTCGTGATTTGATGGTTTGTGCAGAGAAATCTGCTGTAATTCTGATGGGTGTTCCCTTGTAAGTGGTCTGTTTCTTGTCTCTGACAGCTTTTAATATTCTGTTCTTGTATTGAATTTCTGGAATTTTTATAATTATATGCCTGGGTGTTGCTCTGTTTGGGTTATAGGTAGCTGGGGTCCTGTATGCCTCATACATCTGAGTATCTTTACCTTTTGCTAAATTAGGAAAATTCTCCTGGATTATTTCTGTGAGTAGCTTTTGTAGTTCACTTGTTTGTGTCCCTACTTCTTCTTTTATGTTCTTAATCCTTAAGTTATGGATCCTCTTATCATCTTCTTGTCTTTGTATTATTGCTGTTTGTTTCTTTGTTATTTTTAAGAAGTTTTTCATTTCATTCTCCCATATTACAAGTCTGCCCTCCAGTTCAGATATTCTGTCCTTAGTTTCTTTCAAGCTGTTATGCCAGTCTTCGATAGACTTCGTAGTATCTTGGTAGTCCCTTTGAACCTGCTTCACGTATTCTATGCTTTCTCTGTTTTCTCCATCAAACAATTCTCCCCTTTTTTTCTGTTCTTCCATTCCACCACCTGTTTTTTCTTGGGTGGTGCTTAGTATTTCTCTAACTATTCTGCATACTTCTAGCTTCAGGTCGTTGATAACTTCATTCCTGAATTGGTCTATGAGGCTCTCTATATGGCGCCTTATGTGTATTGGTGCGGTGTCTGCTATTGCCTGATTCTCAGAATTGGGGGCCGAGGAGCCTTTCTTGTTGCTGCCTCTTCCCATGCTGCCTCTTCTTCTCTGTTCCTTATATATGCAAGCTTATATAAGAGGCCCAGCTTCTCTCCCAGTCAGCCACAGCCTGATCGAATTGTGCCAGTTAGGTCTTCCCGCTCACCGCTGCGCACCAGGGAGTTACGGACCAGGCAGCCTACGCGTCTCCCCTCCCGGCCACCGTCAGGCTCTGGGATCTGGGTTGGGACAGCCTACCAGGTCCACCGGCAGCGTCACGCAGGCCAGGCACTTTTCACCAATCCTGCCCGAGAGGGCGATGTGTGGCTGGAGTTGCCACCGCGCCCTCCTCCTGCAGGACTGCTCGGGCCCAGAAAGTCCTCCGCTGGAGTCAAACTGTGGTAGAGTGTCAGTTTCTCTCACTCACCTCACCACAAGTCAGTGCACGCCTCTCTGCTGTTCGCAGATTGCCGTTCTCAGAGCTTCTGCGCGTCTCTCTCCTTCCTGAGCCACTGTAGAGGCAGCCAGCCACTGCGCAGCGGGAAACCCAAATCGCGGCTTACAATGGCGCGGGGTCCAGCCTCCACACCGAGGCTTTTCTGTTCCTGTTTTAGCGCCAGGACTGCATTCCAAGTTGGTTTCTCTCAGCCCAGTTCGTTCCTGAGTCAGCAGAGCATATCTCCACCTGCTTATGTTTCCTTAGTCCGCACCATTCCTGGCTTCTGAGCCGAGTCTTTCAGAGAGCCTCCGGTAGTTGCTGTTATCTGTCCGCCATGTTCTCCCGGAACGGGCATATGTATTTTTAAAATGTACTAATGTTATCTTAAAATAGATCTTTACACCATTTAGTAAGGTATTCAACTGCTTGAAATTTTAAGACAAATAACTTTTTTAGGTTGAAATAGTGTTTTTGTTCTTTTATGAATGGTTTATCATAAAAGGGCATGAAAGTCTCTGAACTGCTTTATCTCTATATTTTCATGTGAGTATGTCATTTTTGTTTTTTATTCTATTGATACAGTATATTACATTAATTGAGTTTGTGTGTTTAACCAATCTTGCATCCTTGGAATAAATCCTATGTGGCATTTAGCTCTTTTTACATATTATTAGGTTCTGTTTGCTAGCATTGATGGTTATTGCATTCATATTTATAAGAGTTACGGATCTGTGATTTTTTCTTGTAACATTTTTGTCACGCTTTGATATCAGACTCATAGTGTCTTCTGTTTTAAAATATAGGTCTTATTAACTGTTAGGGATGGGGAGGCCAGCAGGTGACTACTGTTGGCAGGATCATTTGTACCATTTCCAAGAGGAGGGCCACCACTGCACAGCAAACGGGCTTTAGGGTCCCCCAGGAAGCAGGGATGGGAGGAAACGTGGGCAAGGCCCTTTATCGTGGGTTCCATAGAAAAAATAAGTGAGGCAGTGGAAGCAGGCTGGACGCTGGCCGGTTTGAATAATTTCAATGGTTTTTCCGGTGGTTAGTGGCAGTGTCTAGTTATAAGGGACCCAAGTTTGGCTGAGTGGGACAGGGAAAGGCTTGTGGAGTACAAAGCTCCAGTGAAAGAGGCAGTGGGAATGCAGTCTCTGCGTGATTAATTTGATATGGAATGCATGTTCACATTGGTTTAGGTGTCACTCTTTATGCCAATACTATATTATTTTTATTATAGCTTTATAATGAAATTAGAGGGTGTAAGTATATTTTGCTCTGCTTTGCTTTTAGCTTTTTAAAAAGATATAAAAGGTATAAGTAATATCTAGCTTAGTCCTTTTTTGCTTAAGATTGCTTTGGCTACTTGGGGAATTTTATGGTTCTGTACAAATTTTAGATTTTTTTCTATCTGTGTGGCTGTTGTCATTGGAATATTAATGGAGGCTGCAATAAGTCTATTGATCACTTAAGGTAGTGTGGATATTTTAAGATTATTAATTCTTCCAATCCATGAACATGAGAGCTTTTCATTTATTTGTGTCTTCTTAAATCTTTCCATTGACATTTAAAATTTTTTTGATATGTTATAGTTTTGAGTGTACAGAAATTTTACTTCTTTGGTTAAATTTATTCGTAAGTATTTTTTGAAGTTATTGTAAGTGGGATTA